CTCCTGTTCAAGACCGAGACGGCAGAAAGCGTTTGTTTTCTTTATTTTATAAAAGCACAACGTTTTGTTGATATTGTGAGTGCACACATATAAAACTAGACCCTTTACAGTTTAGAATGATGTATTACTCGTACCTTTATGAGCAAACATGATTGCGTATTTTAAGTTGTTTCCACTGTTAGAAAAAAATGCAAGTGATCGCACTGGCGCCTCCAGGTCCTGCAGAGCGCGCTTCAGCTTCCACTCTCCACAAACGATTGGATATACGTCTAACAGCACACATTTATCTAGGTTAAACATTTAAACTAACATTGTGATATACTTGAACTGTTTTATATATAGATTTTATTTTAGGCAAGTCCTGATGATTTGAGAAGGCTAAATTGATCAAACATAGGCTATAGGCTATGATCAATGCACTGTCTGCCGCTGGCCCTTACTTAAAAAAAACTAAAAAAAAAAACTTACATTTAATGAACAAAAAAAATACTACAAATATTTTTCTAAATTTACTTTATAAAACAACGAAACGAAATATAATCACTTTTCCATTACATTTGAGAAAAGGGGAAAAAAGACAAGCTTAATCCACTTCATTCAACGCTGTTTTGTTCTCATCTGTGAGCATGCTCGTGATATATGTATTTTAGGTGTGTAACTGTATAATTGCTTTTTCATTATCTTTTCAGTTTTATTTAAATTTGTAGTTAAAGCAACTAAAAATAAATGTATTTTAAAGCCTATGCACACAGGCTTACGCTGAAAACAACTAAATGGAACCTCAAGGTTGATCTAAGAAAATGTGTGCAAATGTATAGGGCCCCATTCCTATATTTTGCCTGGGGCCCCCAATTCACTAAATCCGCCCCTGCATGAGCGCATGGTCTCCAGGAGAGCGCGCGAGCGCTGAATGGTTAAACACTGGCAAGAATTAAATAGTAATGCAATTTATCAATTTTAGTGATGATGCAACACCGCCTCGATTGTGCAAGTGACAATTCCTGTGTCAACTGTGCAGCGTGCAGCTCGCTTATAGACAGACGCGATGTGTGGTGATTTGAAGCCATTTACGCATTTTTGAGAGAGAGAGTCAAGAGCGTGTGCAGTGATTCACACACTGTTTGTGAAATTGCGTCTCACACAAGGTTTTCAAATTACTTTAGAAGTTATTTAATAAAGAAATATGAAGGTGAGTACCTCACCTTCAGCATTATAATTATTTCAGACTGAGATGGTGCCGCTGCATGTCGTGCCAAACCTCTCACGGCAGCGTCATCAGCTTGAGATCTTTTTTTTTTTTAGGTCTGCCTTTTTAAAGACCATCTGGGCTCGTATTTATCAATCATCTGAGAATTTCTCTCAAGAATGCTGCAAAGAATTGACTTATGTGTAAAAAAATTTTTGTCTCAAAGCTGCGCTTAAAAGTTAGTTATCAAGCATCTCAGTCTTAATTTAAGCGAAGTGTAGGACTAAATCTTAAGTGTCAGTCTTAGAGTTGATTCACGACACTTTGCTGTGCCACAAACAGGATTTTGGATGACGAAATACCCATGGACCAATCACTGAATGGATTTCCTTATTTAAGAATATTGTCAGATAAATTCACATTTACATTCAGCACACATTTGACAATAAAGAATTTTCAAGAGAATACATTATGGTAAAGAAATGAATCGTCATCACAACCTTCAATTTAGGGTCGTGCCAGTAGACGATAGTATCGTGTATCGACGATAGTCAGAGATATCGCCTGTTGCCGATTTCTTCTTCTTCTTATTATCCGTCAAAAATATAGGCGCCTATCTTTAGTGATGCAGCGCTTGTTAACATTTTAAATGGACAGAGAACATAATACCTTTTTTTTTAAAAAGCAGTTCATGACCCCTTTAAATATTATGCATCACATAAACATGTTGGTGTTAAACGTGAAAGAATTACAGTACCTGTTGTGTAGGGAAGCTTAACTCTAAATTTTTTCCAGTCTTTTCTGGGTTTCATTGCCAGTTTCACTGCCTTCGTGAGGCTCTCTACTTTCAGATTTGGCCAGACGCACTGCTCATCATGTACCCAGCTACTAGGCACCACTTCCACCGCATTAGTCTCCACAAATGAAACAATTATGAAACATGCCTAATGAACACAATAAAAAAAGAAGCAAAAAAGAACATGAGTTATTATATATCATTTATATTCTTCAAAATATTTTCATTTGAGCTCCCAGACGAAAGCCATTCAGGTTTGGAATAGGGATGTTCCAGACGAGTTGGAGTCAACCCTAATCCTACTATTTTTCAGTAACACATTTGTTTAAATCACAGATTATGTATTTTAAATACATCTTTTATAAGGACTGTTTAGTAGACTAGTGTTAGTAACATACCTGCAAACACACAAGGTGACATAGTTCGTAATATAAGCCTTGTAGGGGGTCTGGTGGAGTAATTTATTTTTGCACATTTTAATGTTCACATTAGAGTGCACATACTATCAACAAACTCCAACTTTTACTGCAGGAAACACAGAAGCTGCATCTGAAGTGGCATTAGATGTATTTACACAGACTGTTTAATGAAGCTAAGGTGCCATTACGCCACAAAATTTCAAATGCATAAATAATTTTTTAAGAGTAATGTTTTAAATATTTTTGAACATACATGTTAAAAATGTTGGGAAAACGCAATACTTTTAATTATGAAACCAAAACACCAGTAGATGACAGTAAATTACTGTTTTAATGAGCGAGTCATTAGTCATTCATTCAAATGGCTAATTCATTCAGAATCTAGGCATCTGTCTTTATGAAAGTGTTACTGAATCATTGACTCACTTGATTCGTTCAAACACCGCTGTGTGTTGCTGGGAGACACAACACTTCTGCTGTGGCTTTGATTAAAACTTCGTCAGCGAACTTGAGCAAACACAGTCAATATTGTATTACAAATTGCGAACTTTGTGTCTGCTTCACTCACAATGAAGAACTTCCACGCCGACGACATGTTTACATGCGGATGTGAGCGTAAGTGTGCCGTCAAAACTGACCGGCTCGGCGGTTCAGATGAGGTTTGTTCAATTTTAAGCAGCGCTGCGCAGACCGATCTTTATATGATATCTAAGCGGAGCTTTGACGTTATACAAAGATACAACGATTGGTCTTCATGGTGCTGCTTCAAATCGAACCAAGAAAGGGACTTTGGTCAAACACACTTCGACCACTCCAGTCTATGAGCTTGCAATTTCTCTCTCTCTCTCTCCGCCCCCCGCCCCGCCGGAAAAAATCGGATATAGACGATTCACATAAATGACATATTTTGATTCAAAGCGGCGAATTTCACCGAAAAGCGACTAGTTTGCAGGTATGTAGTAAACTAGTTACAAATCTTCCGTTTAAACATTAATGAAATTAGACGCTGCGCACAAAATATTGTTGTAATAAAGTTCGTAGTTTGGGAAGAAGGAGGCGGGAACCGGCGAACGCTCAAAGAAACCTTTAATAAAATAAACAAACACAAAATAAAAAAGGAGACGGAAGGATGAGGAGAGACAGATACGAGAGGGGAGAGAGGAAAAGAAAAAAAAAATGCATCGGTCCGGTTCCCGGACACACTGCCACTTGGTCCTCAACCATATGAGAGGCTCTCACTTGCGGTGCCATGCGATGGTACTGGACATCATTGGTGGACGGCCCACCGCTCATCCGCCTCCTGGCGGATGGCGATTGCTCCTCCAATTGAGGGCAGCCGGCAGCGAGTCCCCCGTTCCCTGCTCCTCCCCAATCATGGTGGATGGCAGCAGGCTCCGGCCTCCTGGCGAACGAGGCCGACTCCTCCGCTCCCTCTCGGACAGCAGCCACCCCTCCTCGACCCAGGAGCGCGGCAGCGAGCTCTCCGTCCCACCTCGTCTTCCATCGTTCCAGCACCACCACCTCGGGCAGCCACCGGCGGTCTCTCCGCTTGTTTCTGCTGCCCGATCTCCTCAGCACCACGATCCCCCTCAGCAGCGAGGGCTCTCTGAAAGCATATCCCTCCTTCCTCCCGGGTTTCGGCACCAATGTAACAAAGTTCGTAGTTCGGGAAGAAGGAGGCGGGAACCGGCGAACGCTCAAAGAAACTTTTAATAAAATAAACAAACACAAAATAGCGTGACAGCCCCTCGCGGACGACTGTTGCGCACAAACAGAACCAAAACACAAAATAAAGTCCAGGCCTGGTCCTCTCTCGTCTTTCACTGTCGTCACTCCTCCTTTTATCCTTCCGGAGCTCCTCCGTGAGACTCGAGACCGGTGAGTGGTGCAGGTGTCGCTCATTATTAATTACTCCACCGGCCTTGCTCCGTTCCCACGGCTCTCGGCCCCGCCCCCACTCGTCACAATGGTAAAATAAGTCCTGCCTTCTAAATAAAAGAGCCAATTGTTAACTGCTAAAGTTGTCACATCACCACAGCTGATGTTAGAAGCTGCAGGTACATTAGCTGGTCCACCCTGAAATATTACCTTTTTTTATTACTCATATGAAATATGCTATTTAATCGTGAGTCTGTCAAGCAGGTTTTGGTATTTCAGGATTTCCCCACTCAAAGAGAGTTGTACTTGTACTAAAATAGCTTGCATTTCTTTCAGTTAGCACAGGTTTTGTATTTATTTTTGTATTTACAACAGCAAAATTGTTTGTGCGAGTGACAATGTCAGCTTCTGTTGTTGTTAAAATAACAATTGTAATATTCGACAACGCATATTGCACACAAAGTAGAAACTTTGCACAGTTTGCACTTACTTTTTCTTGAAAATGTCCTCCAAACTCCACTGCACCTTTTCTTGAAATAACAACAGGTTTTATTGGCTGGAGACACTTGAATGAACTGGCACCGTGGAAATAAATAAAAATATCATTTGGAGACATACTTACCAACATCAGGGTTTCTACCGGTTTATCGCCGCGTACTCCACATTTAATCTTCTGCAGTCTGTGCAGTGTGTAGTAATGGTAAAACAACAAAACCGTCTCGGAGAGGCAACCTAACATACTTCTCAATATTGCCATCAAACTCTGAGATGTGCAAGCCTTCCGGGAGTTCCCTCTTAACAAAAGGTCCTAATTCACATGAATTCATTGGATAATCAAAAAAAGAGCTTCTATGTCTATATTCCTTGTACACAAAAAATGTCTTTCCTTCACTCAAAATAATGTTCACAACAATGGCAACACAGTTCTGTATTTTCACACAATTGTCTCCATCTGTTGTTTTGATGACTAAACCACCAAGCATGACCTCATGAAACTGATGAACTGATTTTGAAAACATCAGTGGAACAGGGCCACAGTTGTGTTCACGTCTGAGGCTATTGATGCTCTCCTGTCTTGTATTGCCCTGGGCATATATTTATGATAGTCTCTGAATGACTTGAGCCAAAGGATTGCAAGTTCTTCTCGCAAGCTTTTTAAGAGAGCCCAAATAATTTTCAAATGGAAAAGCAGAAAATTCATCTAAATTCCCATGCTGCTTTACATCCTCAGAGAGGTACACTAATCCATGCACATTGTAACACACAAATTCCTGCCCATATAACACACTGAAATGTTCAACAAAAGACACTAGACATGTGTAAGCAAAGTCGTTAAATACGAACCAGAATTTCTGACTGAGAAGAATATGAATTGCAACTGATAAAAGCATAAAATGACTGTACACTAGTGGTGGAAATTTAGATTCTTTCAAGAGATTCGTTCATTTTCAGTTCGTTCACCAAAATAATTCATTCAGATTCGTTCACTGATTTGTTCAGTGAGCATTTATTCATATTACATAAATACGCTGGCAGGTGGCGAAAAAGTCTTATGTGCTATGTCCATAGACTTTATAAAAACATGGACGTAGTGTCCGTGACGTCACCCGTAGATTTCCGAAGAGAGTTTTTGAAGCTCAAAAGTGGGCGGAGCCGGCTGTCGCCATCTTGGCTGCGCGTCACTTTCGATAATCGAAAATGAGCAAAGAGGTGGGAGCAGGTTGCTGAAACCACGCCCACCTAGCTCGACGGTGGTGACAGCAGCAGCAATCCACCTGTCACTCAAGTGGCCACGCCCTTAATTATGCAGAACTTTAAGGCTTAATATAATTTAAACAGATGAGTTATAAAAAAATTCACCCCCCTCACAGTTGTCATGAAGGGCAAAATTAGCTATATAGACCAAATTCATTATTTCAGCCAGGCTGTAAACACGTTTTTTTCTGTTGTAAAATTGGGCATTTTAACATGGGGAGTCTATGGGATTGACTCCCTTTTGCAGCAAGCCTCTAGCGGCCAGTTGATGAATTACAGTTTAAGTCACTTCCCTGTTGGCTTCAAGAGAGAGAGCGGAAGGTTGCCGCTTGGTTATGTCTTAAGTCAACGAACATATTTAATTGTGACAAACTGATTTTGGTTTAATTAAATGTGTGCATAACTGATTTGGCTTTAATGAAATGTGTGCATAATCTACTTATTAAATAAATAAAGTATAAATAAGTTGTTCAGATGACCAAAGCACAAGGTTTTCTTGCATAATTAACATTTTAATTGTTTGGTCAGACATTTACATATTCATAAATTGGGGATTAAACGTGGAGTTATGTTCTGTATGCTAAATATGAATATATAAAAAAGCGTATGTGCACAGTACCTATAACTGTGCTTTGCATCTGCCTTCTGCTGATTGCTGATCGAGGTTGACATGCTAAATGGCCGACTGACCCGGTTACACTCTAATTCATTTAGTTCACGAACGAGATATGTACCAATCAGTTCATTCAATTCGTTCACAAACTACATGTACCAGTTCGGTCATTTCGTTCACGAAAGAGAAGATCTCGTTCAGACTCAAATGAAACTCGTTCAGCGAAGGGCGTATTCATTCACTACATTCAACAAATCACATGCTCCGTCACAAGGCTATTGGCTCGAGGTTTAGTCATTCTTTGACAGGATGAAACAGTTCACAGAGCCACCCGGTTCACCGAGCTGCGCATGCGCTGCTAATAGCGCCGCGCTGCTGTGGAGGGAGGAATTTCAGTGAACGAGAAATATGAGTCAATGGATTACGTGAACGAGAACGATTCGTTCACCTAAAAGGTTCGTTCAATAACAATGCTTCGTTCATGAACGTAACATAACTACTGTAGACTGGTGAGGCCAGTACATTACAAAGGACCACTGGACCAGTGTATAACAAGAACTGCCTGAGTTCTGTAGCTTTCCACCTCAGTCTATGGGCTAGTGGTCTTGGTTTAAGTGCAAAGTCAGAAGGAATGTTAAATCTCAACCCTTCAAGAGAATCTGAGATTACGTGACACAGCCGGGAAGATAAACGAATGCAGAGCGGCCCTGAACTCACCCAAAAATCTAAAAGTCTCCACATTATGCCAAGACAAACCAGGTGCATGTAGTCATGCAGAAAACTACCAACTATGTCAATGTTTGTTTCTATTAGAGGAGATGTTGCAACATGATGGTCTTCATCTAGCATCTGTCGGAAAGAGAGGTCTGTCCTAAGTGGGGCGTTCATTTCAGGAAAGGTCATTCGGTGCTTGAGATACAAGCCAGTTTGAGTACATTTGCCACAGGCAGAGTGGCCAGTGTGACTCTTGATGGCTTTGATAAAAGCCCTGGCAGGAGCATCACATACACTAGAACTAACTTTTACAAAGAACTGTTTGCCTTTAAAGCCAAAACCACTGCTCTGTGTTTTCAATTCACTTACAAGATCTTTCAAATATTCATTCAAAGATTTTGGTTTAGAGCTACCACAGAACAGTCCAATCACAAAGGGCCTCTTTACTTTATAGTCTTGAAGAATGCCAAGTATTTGCCAAAACTGTACCGAGGTGCTATTAACCCTCTAAGCGCCAAAGTCTCAAAATTGCAACAAGACGTTATGCTTAATCAAATAGACTGTAGTTCCTAATATGGTGTAATATCTCATTTGTATTCCCTACCACTAGATGGCAGACATGTAGTACTTCGATTCTAGACCAAAATTACATCACGTTCCTATTCAAAGTAACAGCAGAGCAAGTGAGCTATCGTGTCATTGATCCGCGGAAGCAGTTCAGTTCAGAGCGTCTCAGTAAATTGTGAGATTTGTGAGAGAAAATCGCCAAATGGCTAATAAAAAGTTGTACCGTGAGGATGTTTTGCAAATGTTATTCTGACTCTGAAGGGGAATATTTGCCTTTTGGAAATGACGATCGGTCGTCTAATAATCGCGCTTCTCCCGGTACATCCTTGCAGCGCAATGGTGCCGCCGTGCAAGGCGCGAGTGTTCACGAAGCACAAACAAGGGATAATTTAATCTCATCCGTTTAAATTATATTAAGCCTTAAAGTTCTGCATAATTAAGGGCGTGGCCACTTGAGTGACAGGTGGATTGCTGCTGCTGTCACCACCGTCGAGCTAGGTGGGCGTGGCTTCAGCAACCAGCTCTCGCCTCTTTGCCCATTTTCGATTATCCGGGAGTGACGCGCAGCCAAGATGGCGACGGCCGGCTCTGCCCACTTTTGAGCTTCAAAAACTCTCTTCGGAAACCTACGGGGGACGTCACGGACACTACGTCCATGTTTTTATACAGTCTATGATTGTAACACTGCGTTACAATGTGCTATTCTATGACATTAGGAATGTAATTTACACTATTTACTTTAATTAATTTTAATGAGAAACAGGTGAATAAAGACTGACAGTCATTAGGTGCGTTCGACTTGAAGCACAGCTACAGACGGCAGTCAGCGAGAGTAGCCGCTTGCAGTCGGGGGCGGAGTTGAAAACGGAGCCGTCAAGCCGGACACTTTCTGCTCCCGTTAGTGACGCTCGCGCGGTGTTTGCGTACTCTATCACAGATGAAGTGAATTAAATTCAATATTTGTCAAATACACAGACGTTTCAGAAACGTTTTCATGAGCAACAAACACTTTTTATATACTGCTTAATACAGCGCCATCTGTTCAACGTAAATATATACTATTTAAATACTAATAAAGTGGGGGTATATATGCTTTCATGATAAACGTGACTCAATATAACATTGCGACTACAGTAAAAAAGCTTTTAATGTTCTAAAAACACAGATTTATGAGCAGTATTGGATTTGAATTTGTTAGAGAACACGTCATTGTTGTCATGTGGTGAATTTGGCCAATCGTGAAACAGCTGTGTCGTCATCAGCGCTCCTGCAGTCGCTCTGAAAAAGCTGCGCTAGCCGAGTCAGCCGGCTGCTCTCGAAACGATATCGCGGTACTTAGATGCCACACGTGACAGTGACGTAACGTCGACGCCGGTTCAAGTCGGACAACATTTCTAACCGGCATGCACTGCTTCAAGTCAGCCGCCGATCGGTTTGCGCGGCGCCACATGAAGTCGAACGCACTTAATGTTTAGAAATGATTATTTCAAGACATGTAAAGCATTTTTGCTCGTTTATGTGGGGCGTCCCAAGCATGACTGCAATGTGTTCATCTTCAAAATCCAAAATCTGATTGTTTTTAATTAATTAATTAATTTTAATTTATGTATTTAATTCTTAAAAAACGCAATTATTTTATTTGAAAAAAGTAATTATTTTATTTTATTAACAAAATATTTTAGTTTGTCTTGTATATATTTTTTTCAATGATCAGATAACAATTTAAGCTGTCACATGGTCAAGTTACAACGTGCCCCTCAGATGTTACAATGTACCCCACCTACGGGGCATGTTGTCACATTTCACTTTTATTTTTACCAGAGGGTAAATAAAGAAAAACGTATACACTGTAATCACGAAACAAAGCGACATATTTGTACTAGACAAGTGTAAAATGACTGGATAAAAAAAAAATCTGATAACTGAGAAACTACTTATTGAAATGAAGTGCCTACTCGTCGAGTCTGCTGTTTCGGACGCAGCCGTCGTGAGTTCAGCGAATAAAGACTTTTATTTTGGTCTCGCGGTGTGACGTCATAAGGCTGCGCTCCCGCGTCTGTGAATCGGCTGAATGCATCTTTTAAGTTGCTTTGCCAACCGCCAATAACATTTAAAGAAGAAGACGAAGCCATTAAATCCTAAAAGAAGAAGAAGAAGAAGATTCAGCTGAAGAAAGGTGAGAGCTTCCAATAGTTTAAAGTGTTTCAATCAACTAAACTCGTTTAGAAAATTGTGTATAAAACTGTGAAATTAATTATTAACCAGTGAAACACTGTGGCGTTTTGTCTAGTGATATTAATGAGTGTTTTATGCGTGTAAAGCGCTCCCGCACACGAGTAAGAGAACCGGTCTCGTGTAGCTCCACATGCTGTGATTGTGAATCAGTTGTATTTTAAACACGAGGTCGGTTACTGACCAGCAGTGCTGGAGAAACGGAGCTTTTAGAGACTCCGACTCAACTGAATCAATCTGCTGCTCAAAACTGTGTGAATGCAGCAACTATTTATTTAAAGGGGTCATATGATGCTTTTTTAAAGATCATTATTTTGTGTATTTGGTGTAACAGAATGTTGACATGCTTTAATGTTCAAAAAACACATTATTTTTCAAATACTGTACATTATTGTAGGTCCTCTATGCCCCGCCTCTCT